CCCCCAAAACCCCAAAACCCCAAAACCCCAAAACCCCGAAGAAAGTTAGTGATTTTGAAATAATAGGGAATTTTAAATAAATATGAATAGCATTCCTATCTGGGGCGTCAAATTCTGGATGGAGTCCCAAAAGCACAAAGAGAAACTCCAGGCCAAACAAGAAGACGCCACTGAAAATAAAAGAGTATGCCACGGCTGAATTTTAAAGGAATTTTGGGATTTTGTGCAGGGATTTAAGGAATTTTTAGGGCAAGAAATCACCGAGGCAGTCAGTGAGGGTAAAGAGAAGAGCTTCGATAAAGAAGAAGATGTCAATGAAGAAACTTGTAGTTAAGGAAGAGAGGAAATAAGAGTGTGAAGGCTAAGAGACCGAGACTTGAGACTGTAAGAATGAGGTGTGATTTTAGGATGATGATCTGGAGAGAGCTGATGATCAGAGAATTCTTAATGTTAAGAAAACAAGTAAGTTGAAAGTAGAGATTTATTAGAGGTCAATGTGCAAGCAAGGACATTCTTCAAGCCAAGTTTTGCAGATCGAAAGGAAAATTTAGAGAAATCAGCAACGAAGATAAAAATTGTTGATTTTGGGACAAGAGAGAAGGTTAATAGTTTAAAAAGTAAATATTTTGATATGCCTGCTGGAGAGTACTGGGATTGACCAATAGGAGGAGGGATTAGATCAATGTACCATTTGGGCAAAGCTGCTCAAAAACAAGCCTTAAAGATAATTATTCCTCCTACTATAATTCTCAGAACTGATCATAAAAATATGTTTGTGTATACAAAGCCTGCTACCAAATGTGTAGCAGTGATAAAGGATTCCATGACCCCTAAAAGAATAATGAATTATCTTAAAGACCACTTAAACAGAGGGGGTCAAAATGATCCTCAAAATAAAAATAATAGGATAAAGACAAGTGTTTATCCTAAATACATCATCAGATATGGATCAAAGGTTGATAGGAATTACATATCTTTATTCTATAAGCTCTCAGATGTCTACCAACAAATCTTAGAGGATTGGGGCAAGTATGATATGGCAATCCAACCTTTCCTGATCTGAAAATCCCGGAAGCCTAGTGTCATCCGATGTGAAGTAGACTCTAAGCAAAGAGTTAAGACATTCTTCCTCAATAGCGATAAAGATGTCAGCGACTTTCCATATTTAGACAAGAGTAAAATTCTCAACAAATGGAAAGATCCCCTGCAATTCGGAAAGAGCAAGGAGGAAGAGAAAGATGATAGTAGTATAGTTCAAAAGATCTCAGATCTTCACCGAATTCCTAATTCTGAACTCATTAACTACTTCTGTGTAAGCACAGAAATGGAAGAGCCAGAAATTAATATCATGGCATGTAGACCTTCAGTCTACCCAAAAGCCGAGGAATGGGCTAGAGAGTCTGTATGAGCTCTCGAGAGAACCTTCTTCATGGGAGAATACAAGGTTTCCAACTGGATCATTGATTTTATCCAATGTGTTGATGGCTTGACATATCTTTCACAAATAAAGTCTTTCAAATGTGATAAAATTCAGAAGTTAAACACTATGAAGAAAAACTTGATCAGCACTAGAGGAAAATCTGCCAAAAATACACTTAACTGGCTGTTTCTAAAGGGCTTAGGAGTAAAGAACATTCAGGGATCTCAAGATTGCCAATGTCTTATCTTTTGTAGTGCAATTCCGGAGAAAATGTCCCAAAATATATCCACATTTTTCAAAGAAAATTCAATGATTCCTTCGTTTCATACAAAGCTGCTAGAATGGACTTTGATTGAGAGATATAAAATGGAATACAAGAAGGTATGCCAATCAGATTCCTTTAAAGACCCTCACTTGCTCTTCCCTCTTCTTTACATTGTAAATCTGACCGAAGAGGAGATCTCTGGGTTGGGCAAGCCCAAGAAGGAGTTCTCCATCATGAAAATTCTTCTTAATGTTCTCAAGAAAGAGGATGATAAAAAGAACAAGAGCCAAGCTCTTCAAGAGAATGATACTGTATTTTACTAGTCTAATTTTAGATCAAATCAGGGAAGACCAAGCTGAGATCTTGCTATTTATGATATTGCTTCCTGAAGATGCTTTATAAAAATCGTAACAAAGTGCTAACATTCCAAACTCCTCAAGTAAATAAAATCTAAATTCGTAGACTAATGCTACTATTGCACATCTTTCATCTCAGAATTTATCTGAATGGCCAATGGAGAACTACCAGAGGCTGCTTAATCTCTATGTTCAATGTATAAAGAGAGCATATCATGCAGAGTTATTAGTGGATCCAGACCAGATCAAGAGTAGCAAATATAAGCCAATTTCTAGGTCAAAAACGTATTCGAGTCTGAGTAAATATTTCATAAATTTTAGGACCAAAAACTTCAAGAGTTAAGCCAAACTCTTTCATTACCCCTAGAGAGGAGGAGAAAGGTAAGCTACTATTTACTTAAGACTTAATCTGCTTGCTAGTAATATCTTCTAGAATTAATGTACTCAGTTTTATAGGATGCCAAATAAAAGTCACAAATAATTTGAGCATGAATCCTCCTGATAACTCAGCAGATAGGAAGCAATCATCCAGTAATTTTCTATCAGTTCAGATCAATAATGACCTTGATGTCAACTCTGATATGTAAGCTATTGGTTTATTTTAGGCCAATTGAGATGACTCCAAGCGTACCTGCAGTACCAGCAAATGGTAACATAGAAATCATCAGAAAGGTATTCTGAATCTGGTTTAATAGTTTAGAAGAAAAAGAAGAACAAGTCAACTTTGTTTTACAAGAGAAAAAATTATACCAAATACCCCAAAGCTCCAGATCAAAAGGAGTCTTTTTATACTGAGAAGCCACTAGATAGAATGGAAAAGGTGAAAACAGAAGAAAAAAAATCAGCACGGAATATGTCTAATATGAACCGTTACAGCTCCTCCGTACCTGAGTTAACCAAGGTATATCAACCTAAGGCTGGTAAGATCCCATTATTTCTTCTAAGTCATCTTTAACTCTTTTAGGCTCTAAAAATAAGCTGCGCCATTCTAAAACATCAAGAGGCTGCTTCAGAAAAAGAGTAGCATCTTCACAAATCCAGCAAAGAGAAAGGTAAGCATTATCTTCTTAATATCTAGTGGTCATAAGGTAAGTACCATCCGTTGTCTCTAAAATTACCCAATAGTTCATCAAACAATCAATTTGCGACACATCAAAAGTTCTTCTGAGAGTACTAAAAGGAAGAAATTACTCAAACTTCAGCCTATAATTCAATCTCAAACCACTATCTCGGGGTTTTGGGGTTTTGGGGTTTTGGGG